GAGAGTGACCAAAATGGTCTGGAAATCATGCCCTGGGAATTGTGGCTTAGAGGGCTTAGCATGTTTAACCTGGTTAAGAGGTGACATGATTGCCATGTCTAAATATTTGAAAAGATGTCATACTGAGGATGGAGCAAACTTGTTTTCTGCTGCTCCAGAGGCTAGGACACAGAGTAATGTATTCAAGCTATAGCAAAAGAGATTCCACCAAAACATTAGGAAGAACTTCCTGACAGTAAGAGCTGCTGCCTCAGAGTGTGGTGGAGTTTCCTTCTTTGGAGGATTTTAAACAGAGGCTGGATGGCCATCTGTCAGGAGTGTTTCATTGTGTATTCCTGCATGGCAGAATCCAGTGGGACTGGATAGTCCTTGTGGTTTCTTCCAACACTATGGACTTTATTGCATAGCTTTTAATATAAATAAAATAAAGCGTTTTACCTGAATCAAATTTAATTTTAAATCAGGTTGCATCAGGACCTATCGCAAAGCTTTTGCTGCCCAAATTGCCGCCCAAATGCCGCCCGGGTCCTTCCCCGCTTCCAGGAGCGCTCTGGCAGCTGCTCTGGAAAACTCCTGGTTTCAAAAAGAGGAGCCTGGGAGCGGGATGGACCTGGGCTGCATTTGGGAGGCGATTTCGGTGGCAAAATCTTTTTGATAGGGTCCGGATGCAACCAATTTAAAATTAAATTCGATTCAGGTAAAACGCTTTATTTTAGCTATGTGATAAGCCTCTATGATTCTGTGATTTAATTTATTCCATCTCTCTGTTTTGGAGCTGGTGTGATAATGATGACTGGTGTGACTATTGCCTGCTGATAGATCTAGGATGTTGTTTCTTTTTTTGGTTTAACCTGGCAATCTGAACCTTCGGTCATTGTCCACCCCAACTTCTTGTCTAATGGAGGTGTTTAGGTTTCCATGGGAATAAAGAAAGGAACCTGTTAGTCACTATACAGTGCACATGCTTTTTCATGTGGGGCAATGAATTCTCCATTTCATTATTTTTCTGAAAAGAAGCTACTTGGAAGTAACGCAGCAGTCTCAAACTCATGACTTGTAATCTTGGCATCTTACTTCTTTCCCCTGAATTAAAAAAAGAAAAGAATTCCATTACATTTTTTTAAAAAAAGATAAGTTTTTCCTGTTTCATTTAGTTTTTAGTTCTTCTCTTGAGCATCTTTTTTTTCACACAAATTATGAAAGATAAAAGCAGAACTGAAATTGTAGGATGTGAATAAAAACTGCAGATGTTAGGACACTGGGGAGGCGGTTCAAAAGAGTCAGGAAAATGCTTATAAGGAAGGAAAAGAGGCAAATCCTATGACTGCAACATGTGAACATGGACTATAAAATAATTTACACAATGAACAGATGCTCTTCTCTTCTTTACACATTGTCCCTTCTCTCTTATTACAGTTCCTTTAGGGCCTAAAATTTAGCTTCACTAGGAGTTGTGGATGTTTGGAAACAAATTTGTTCTTTACCTCGGATAAAGCAGGTAATGATCTAGATTTTGAAAGGACAGTCTTGATTAATCCTCAGTCATCCTACTTTTTCAGTTGCTTTTAAAATGTCCCACTTTCTCTCACATTGTCCTTGGCTTAGTTCCACTGGTGCAAACTGCAGCTGGAATCCTATATCAGTTTATATTTATGTAAGGACTTAACTGTAGGTATGTCTACATGGACAGGAAAATCCAGTTTACCTTCGGGTTACTCCAATCCATAGCAACTCCATGCTTGTCTAGACACACCAAGGTGCCTCCACACACAGTTCTCCCTTCTGAATTCACCCTGGCCTGATAAATTGCAGTATTTACAGCCACATGGCCATGGCTTCTCTGGGGTTTCCACCTTTCCCCATGCAATTTACAAATGTGTGTATTTCTGAACTTCCCCCCCACTTCCTGGCCTTATACCAACGTCACTTTGAAGTGCAGTCCACATTCACACATGAATATTTGGATTTTCTGCTGAAAAATGGGATAAATTCTCACCCCCCCTCCAGATTAAAGCCCTGAGCCCCAGTCATCCCATACGTTGGACTTTATCACACGGGGGCCAGTTTCGTCTTTAAAAAGATAATAAAGCACAAATAAACCATCCCGAAAATAAAGCGAAAATAGAGCTTGATCACGCAAATGAATTTCACACATAATTAGAATAAATGCGAAATAATGCAAAAAGTGATAAAAAAGCATTTTTACATTTCATACAGAAGTGAAAGAAATCCGTAAATGTACTAGAAATGGTATACTTGCACATCCACAGAAAGAGAAAATAGAGAGGCTCATGTCTGCCTGGCATGTTTGTCACCCAAGCAAAAGAGGAAGTAAAAGCATTATTGTGTGAATAAACCAAATTTGACTTTCACACAAGAGTACATGCGCAATTACAGTAATATCGAAAATGCATTTTCACTAAAATCCCGAAAGTAAAAAGATCTGGGATAACACCACTTTCTGACCACTTTAATAGCAGTTTTTGTGTGACGTCGTGTGAAATTGTTGCGTGTAATTACGCGTTTTTTTGGGATTTGTATGGGATAAACTATAGATTTCCCCTGTCTGATAAAGTCCATTGTTAGATCATGTATTTGGCCTATGTAGATGTGCCTTGTGTAACTTCTCCTGGCACAACCTCCCAAAACCTGATGGAAAAAGAATTCAACTGTGCTTGTTGGCATAATGGCCCTCTTTCTCCCTAAGCAGTTGATGCCCAGTACAGTAGGTTTGGTTATTTTCATGGTGTCAGTAGTGTCAAAATCATGACTAGGTAGTGACTGTGAATATGAAAATTACCTAACTGTACAGTTTTCTGCCTCATGTCAAATAACTTGTTTAGCTTTGGGTAGTACAAACCTTGAATTGGCTGATCTTGGGACTTGCTCTGGCCACCATTTTTTCCTCTAATACAGAGAACAAAACATCTTGGGGCAACTTTGGTAATACTTTCTCATAGAGACTTGCTGTGTGGCATGGATTATGCTTTACACAGGGCAGCTGCAGTCTCTGGCACTTGACAGTTGTGTAACATAGCCAATTATTTAAGCATCACTTCTGGGGCCCTGAGAGAAGTGAGGGGAAGTCACTGATGCACAGTAATGCTGGCTCATTAATCTTTCAGTAAACACTTACCATTATAAGGAGGAAATGGGTTTATTCTGGCCATCAGGTCTGATCAAGAAGAAACTTACTCTGCAGTTCATTAGATCATGTTAATTAATGACACATTATAGCCATGGAGAAGACAGAAGGAAAGAAGTGATCGCCTTGGTTACTTCCTGATTTCCCTTGTCAAATCCAGAAATGTTCACAAATACTGTAGTTTAATTGGGATGTGAAAGAAAAGGCTTTAATGTGAGTTACCAGGACAGGGGTGGGGAAAAGGAACCTACAGACTATATGGTGCCCTAATGTAGCTTTCCACCCCATAGTAAAAGATGCTGTGTTCCCATTTATGTCAGTTCTCATTTCACACAGGGCTACAGCCTAAGTGAAATTGGTAGCAAAAAACGCAGAAGGGATGGCATCCTGATTTTAAAATTTCCCACTTTCTCTCTCCTCCTTCTACTTTGTCCTCACCTTATTTTAATTTCTGCAAACTAAAATCAATGTGTAAGAGTAGTTTGCATTCAAATAACACATGGCGGGGGGAGATGAGGGGATGAAATCTTGCCCTTCCTGATAGGCTTTTAAGAGCAATCTGCTGCAGTCTCTACTAGCTTGTTCTTCCTTAATAATAAATTTTGCCATCTTGACCACACTCTGATGTCTCTTCACCACATCATTGGTGAGGAGCATGCTTAGTGTGGCCGTGTCCTAATTTACACAGATGAGTGTTTTATTAAAAGACATGTCCTGTTTGAGAGCTGTCCAGTCTTCCCTGGGTGTAATGATAAAGAATAACAAGACATGGAAGAAAAGGCCTTCAGATTGTTCATAAATACTTAGCATTTGGGCTAGGGTTGCCATATCCCTCGGGTTGACATATTCCCATATCTGGACATCTAATTTGCATTTTGTGCAAATTATTATAATTATGCAGTCATAATAAATGAATAAAATTAGGCATTTATTTTGACCTCAAACTATGAAAAAATTACAGAGACACTAAGGGCACCATGAGCCAAGAAAATTTGGGAACTTCTTCTGCCATATACCCAAGAGAGTGAAATGTGGAATCTGTCCTTCCAAGAGAATTTCATTTATTATTTGGAAATTGTTTGTTGTTTGTTGTTAACTGCCCTCAAATGGATTTTGACGTATGGCGATCCTATGAATGAGAGATTTGCAAGTCACCCTATAATGAACAACCTTGCTCAGGTCTTACAGAGTCAGGGCCATGGTTCCTTGACTGAGGACGTTTTCACACAGGCGGCTCTAAAGCCGCCTGGAAGCCCCCTAGAAGCAATCAAGAGCCATTCCGGCGGCGAAAACAGCAGCCGCCGGAATGACTCCTGATTGCCTCCGGCAGCAGCCCCTGTAATTCCTTTTTAAAAAAGGAATTACAAAAACGGGGCTAAAGCCGGCTAGCGGCAGGGATGGCGCAGGGATTGCGCAAGATGGGGCGGGGCTTGCTGCGACGTCGTGTGAACACGCGCAGCAAGACCCCGGAGTGAGGCAGGGATGGCGCTGGATGGGGCGGGGCTTGCTGCGACGTCGTGTGAACTTATCCTGCACAGAGCCGGAGTGGGGCCAGACGGAGGTAGGAATGACTCCGTTTAAAGCCCCGTGTGAAAACGTCCTGAGTCTATCCATCTGGAATGAGGTCTTTCTCTTTTCCTACTGCCTTCCTAAGTAAGCATTAATGTCTTTTCTAGTGAATCATGTTTTCTCATGATGTGGCCAAAGTACAGCAGTCTCAATTTAGTAATCTTGTGTTCTAGGGAGTCAGTGGCATCACTGCAGCGGGTGACACCCGCTGTGGGGGGTGGGACTTCTGGCTCCAGACTTCCGGTGGAGTTCCTGGAAGTCCAGGGCTGAAACAATGTCTGTGAGAGCCAGCATGGTGTAATGGTTTGAATGCTGGACTAAGACACCAGGAGACCAGGGTTCTAATCCCTATTCACTCATGGGAACCCACTGGGTGATCTTGGGCAAGTCACATACTCTCAGCTTCAGAGGAAGGCAAGGGGAAACTTGCTCTGAACAAATTCTGCCAAGAAAACCTTGTGATAGATTTGCTTTAGGGTTGCCATTAGTCAGAAATGACTTGAAGCACACAACAAATGTTAAACGCTGTGTGCCAGCATGGTGAACTAATTTCAATGCAGGAGAAGGATTCCTGGTGACTAAACTTTGAATCCTGCTCAGCCATGGAATCTCATTGGGTGACCTTTGCAAATCACACTCTCTCAGCTGCAAAAGAAAGCAATGACAACCTCCCACTCCCAAACAAATCTTGCCATGAAAACCCTGTGATAGGTCACTATAAGTCAGAGTCAAATAGAAGGCACATAACGACAACAACATTAAACAGTATGTGGAACTTTTAATTCCAGTTATAGTTGGAACTCCAGTTACAGGTAAGTGAGGGAAATTATTCCTAGTTTAACACAGAAGTAACACAGTATGTACTGATTTGAGTAAGATATGAAAGCATAATGCCTCAGCAAGACCCCTGAGATATTAAATACATTTAGAATCATAGACCTGGAAGAGACTTTAAGGGCTATCCAGTCCAACCCCCTGCCATGCAGGAATACATAATCAAAGCACTCCTGGCACATGGTCATCCAGCCTTTGTTTAAAGGCCTCCAAAGAAGGACACTTTGAGGGAGTGTGCTCCACTGTCAAACACCTCTTACTGTCAGGAGGTTCTTCCTAATGTTGAGGTGGCATCTCTTTTCCTATAGCTTGCTTCCATTGTTCCGGGTCCTATTTTCTGGAGCAGCAGAAAACAAGCTTGCTCCATCCTCAATATCACATCTCTTCAAATATTTAAACATGGCTATCACATCACCTATTAACCTTCTCTTCTCCAGGCTAAACATACCCTAAGTCATTCCTCATAGGGCATGGTTTCACCATTTTTACCCCCTATCTTCGCTATTGATTGAATCTATTGACCAGAGGTGCAACATCTTTCTCCATTCCTAGAAGTAAAATTACAAAGTAAACAGACAACAATTTAGGTAACTGACAATTTCTTGCCCTTCCATGGCACTCTGAATCTGCCATGTCAAGTAGCTGCCCCACTCTGCTGCCTCTAAATAATATCTCCCATAAATTAAGATATACTGGGGATCTGGCTCTAACATGTTCTCTAAAGTTTCAAATTGAATTTTCCATTTTTATCATACAAATCTATTATTTTTTGGTTTTAAAGGGGTTATTCTCTGTCTCCTTTTCTTGTACGTAATCAAGACATATTGGTGAATGAGATAAAATAATGCTGCTATTTTCAAGAACGTCTGCATGTAGGCTGAGCGTGGGAGAGAATTTCTTTCTGTACACTAAGTATTTGCTAACAGTCAGTGCAAGTGTGTGAATATGACTGTGAAGCTTGTATTTTCTTCCAACAGCATGTGGGTGACTCTTGAATCATTTCAGCTTTTATTTTTGTAAGGATGGTGTGGGTGGATGTGCATGACTCAGTATTTTTTTCCTATAGATGCAAAGCCTGCATGGCCAATTTTGGAAGGTTTTATGCTGATGCCTAAGTTTTTGCTTCATCCATAGATCTTTTTAGCAAAGGGAAGCCTCCAGCTTGAGCATTTTAAAAATACAGTATGTGAAAACCCAGCTATTTACTCATTGTTTTCGTAATGAGGTTCATGTCTTCAGTGAAGACTCTTCACCTACAAAACAGCCTGTTCTAACTTATTTCATTCACCTGAATATTTATTCACACCTATTCTAGAGAACCTGGGCTACCAGACTGTTCTGTGTCCCTGACATAGCTAGCTCTTTTCATGACCGCCAAAAGAGAGCTTGAATCTCCCCAAAAGAAGACACTAACTTACATAAAATTTGCATACTAATTATTTTATTTATCAGAAAGATTTTTGCACTGATTTTCATTACCCAAATCTGAAATCTGAATCCCCTCACTCCAATAGAATAGCCTCAAAAGAACAGAATAATTCAAGATATGAGAGAATTCTAAATTGTTCATGGCTGGAAGGAAAATGAAAAGTAAAAAGGTATGTTTTCAATAAATGTTTAAATGGCAGTGTTAAAGCTTGATGTATTGAGCTGATCAATCCATAGGGTGAGCACCACCATCTTAAAGGCCTGTATCTGTGATATGTACTAATTTATATGTGAGGATTCACTTTTGAAATAATTGGTGTAAATTAAATAGAAATATGCCTCATTATTGTGTGGAAGATGACATGTGTTCCTTTGCCACTGGTCTTTGGGAACTAACTAAATGGGTATCTTTAAGGTGCTTTCCCCTCTTACAGTTCTTTAGCTTTCAATCAGATTTGGATTGGGTATTATTTCAAAAAAAGAATTGCACTTTCAGAAGTCCATTATAGAACTATAGAAGCCCTCCAGATAGTTCCACATGCTCCCAGTAGCTGTTCAGCAGTCATACAGAGCAAGGCATTTAATGTGGTGGCACCAACATATGGAATGCCCTTCTATCAGCACTTTGACATGCTTCATCCATCTCAGGGGCTGAGCAGATGGGCCCTGTTAGCATGGGCTCAGCCCAGGAGTAGGCAACCTTTGCCCTTTAAGGGCCGAGGGACTTCAGCTCCCAGAAGCCTCAGCCATGTTGGCCAATACTTCCATGTTGGCCAATAGCTCCTGGGATTCTGGGAGCTGAAGTCCCTCGGCCCTTAAAGGGGAAAGGTTGCCTACCCCTGGCTTAGCCTGTGGTATCCTTGCCAGGTGCTCACTCAGGTTGATCCCTGAGTCGATGGGGGAATAGGTGGGTGTTTGCACACCTGTCCCTGCACCGACTTGGGACCAGGACAGGCATGCACTCCTTATCTTGCTGCATCATTGCTCCGACTGAGAAGCTGCCCCATTGCTGTATCTGACATGGAAACAGGGTGCATGACTGTATATGGATACAGTGGCTAGGAACCTTGTTTTTGCATCAGACACGGCAATGGGGTTTCTCATTCAGAACAATGCATGGCAAGGTAAAGAGCCCAGGGTGGCTGAGTAAACAGCTGGGGTATGCCGCAGTTTTCAGGAAACTCAACAACAAACCAGGGGTAATTATCCTGGGGTATTGGCTATTTATCCCAGGATGAGGCTGGATTTGTGTCTGGTCTGTCAGGATCAGACCTGATCCTGCCCCTGGAGTTTTAGCTGGTGTTGTCTAGACAATGTAAGGCCAGGAGGAATCTGGGCCTTTTGGCCAAGGCAGACAACCCGAAAACGTAGGGTTAATCTAAAATTGTGAGCGGTAAAATAGGACACATGGCCACCTTCACCGAACATGATCCTGAGCTTGTTACTTCTCTGCCACCTAGAAAAGTGTCTTTGAAACTATGACCCATCGGTTGTCTTAACTAATGCATCTCCACCCATCCACATTTACTATGCTATGATGTCACTAGCATTTTACCTATAACAAACTGCTTTACTTCATTGGCTTTGGCTTGTAAGAGAAGGAGGAATGCAAATGTAATAGCAGTACCTGTTCTTGAATGGGATTTTTTGCTGCTATTGACTACTAGCTGTTTCGTTGTTTCTGGATTTAACTTTTGCTTCTTTATTTCTATCCAGAGTTGGCTGGTACAATACTGACAATATTGTATACTACTCCCACTATCATTACTAGGAGTTTTGCAGGTTTTTGTAGTGATTCAAAACATGCAACACCTGTTTAACTAGAGATGAGGAAAGTCATCCACTGAAAGTCAACCAGTCATCCAGATGAGGAAAGTCATCCAGTGACACTGTGACCAGGCAAGGGACACTCATGTCACACAAACAGCTGAAGATAAAGAACAGAGTAATTAGGAAGATCATACTCTCCTAAAATTTATGAAAAATGCATGGAGCAAGTGATGCTGCATTCAGTGAAATTTTCTTTTAAGTAGAATTGGGCTTTTTAGGTGAATCTTAGAAAAATGTGGACCTAGAGCAGCCAAAATAAGTCCTATAGCACTTCCTCCTCAATCTAATAACTACTGTAAGCATGAGAACTACAAAACCTTTTTGAGACAGCATCTCCCCAGTTCCTCCAACCACTATGGCTAGTAGCTATCTTGTTGGGGGATTCTAGAAAGCGTAGGCCAAAAAAGTAGATTTTCCCAGCTCTGCTGAATGCACTGTCATAACTTCCAACATTTCACAAATGAAAATCGAGATACATGTGTCCAAACAACAGAATGTGGTCAAGATGGCAAAACTTATTAATGAGGAGGCTAGGAAAGGCTGCAGCAGTTTGTTTTTGCCTGAACCTATTGGGAAGGGCAGCATTCTACTCTTTTCTGTCTCCCTTCACTATGTGAACTGAGTGCAAAATAGTTTTGCACTTGGGACTCAGTTTGCAGCAACTGAACTGGGCAAGAGAACAAAGAGGGTAAGTGGGAGAAAGAAACTGGGACATTTTAAAAGCAGCTGAAAAAGTGGGATGGGCAAATTATTAATCATAACTGTCCTTGGACGTTATCACACGGGGCAAATCTGCTGGTTAATCCACACAAATCCCAAACAAAAACTGGATTTGTGCCTCGCGTTTTCACACAACATCGCACAGAAACTGGACAGAAAGTGGACAGAAACTGGTGTTATCCGAGATCTTTTGAAATTCAGTTGTTTGGAGGAAATGCAAATGCGCAATTAAGGTAATTTCGCATTTACTGTAATGCGAAAAGCAAATGCGCATTTGGGAGCATTTCCCTGCTTTTCCCATGGTTCCAGCGAGCATTCCTCTATCTGCGCATGTGCAAGAAGATCATTTCTAGTACATTTACGGGCTTTTCTCACTTGTGTGTGAACGTTAAATGCGCTTACTGTAATTTCACAATTAAGGTAATTACGTGTGAAAGCCATTTGCAGAATCAAGGTTTATTTTCAGTTTATTTTCGGAATGCCTCATTTCCACTTTATTATCGCTTTTTGGCCCACGTGTGATAACGTTCCTTGTAAAACTGGGATA